ACAGTGCAACTCAACTCAAAGGTTCTGGTTTGTTATGGCAGTGGGGGGTGATGACTTCAGGCTTTAAGCAGAGATGATGAGAAGGCTTCACCGGTCTGGGAAACCCACTTCTTTCAAATTAAGCAACCCTAGATTCTTCTTTCATTTTCAAACTTGGAAGTCCATGCGCGACTGGTGCTGATTCAACTTAAATCACTTCGGGCGATTTATATTGATGTTGCACACATTTCTTTAATGCCACAAAAGGTTTTGTCCAACTTTTTTCATGTAACTGCAGAAGTACTGCCCCAGACGTGTAAACAGACTTTGATGTGTCAAGTCTGTGCAGTTCCCCCCCTAAAATCAAATTATCACACAGAAAACCTGGAGGCACGGTCGTTTTTCAATGTAGAAAAATGGTACATTTTTCTCCACAGAGAGGGAGCAGCAGATAAATTTGGTCATGATTTTTCCCCTTATATTCACCACGTAATTCTCTTGAGATGTCTTCTAGGACATTTTATTGACAGGTCTTTCTATAATGTTTATAACATCAGGTAGCTAGAAAATTGCTTTAGGAGGCCAATGGTAAAGTAGTCATACAAGCAAATGTTCAAATAAACTTGGTATCTGTTTTTTTTTTTTCCCCTCTGCAGTTGTAAAGCTGTGTGAAGGCGCATTACTTTACACGCGGCCCATCATACAATTTTTAACCTCATAGCAGAGATTGAAGATAAACACTAACACAGGAAGTGTTAGCTACTCTGTTTTGCCTCAAAGAGTTTTTATAGAGCTATTCTAGAAAACAGTGAGGTGTAGCAATAAGCGATCAAAAGAATGTTTTGCATGTCTTGCACTACACAAAAAGGCAACATTGTGCCCACTACAATGTACTGTCAGAGATGCAAATTAGACCACTGCAGTTAAATGTAATTACTGTGGTATAATAAAAAGTAAAATCTACCTGTGTAGTTGTGTGAAGGCATTGAGCAAGAGTTCTACGACTCCTTTTGCAAACTATTATCTATTGCAATAGGAGTCATATGTTGGCATTTTAAACTTCAAGAACAAAAAACAGACATTAGATTCACTCTGTATTTAATTTGACTTATGATAAGAAGAGACAACAGTTAAGCAGGAAGGACTTACTGTTTGTACCATCACTATCAATTTATATAAAGAGCAGAGAATTTTGCTGTAAAATTCAATATCGTTAGGTTATCACCCCAGTAGAAACATAAAAGCAAACAGGGTAAGTCTGCAGTACCACCACAACCTATTTTATCAAAAGTTAACGGTTTGGAAGAAACTTGCATCACTTCAAGTCACAAAGAGTTAATTTAAACATTCAATAAAGTAAGCACACGAATAGAGAGCTAATGCACACCAAAATTGCAATAAACCCCCAAAACCTAGTTGACTTGTACTGCTGTCACTGTGCTATAATGCCTCAATTATGCCAATATACAGAAAAACTATCACTCCAACTTTAAAAGCTACGATTGACAGGAGGCAAAAAGAGAAAAAATAAAAAAATAGGGGTGGAAAAAAAAAAGTTCTGCAAGTAGTGAGACTCTGAAAGTAGTGACTTAAGACTACAATCAGGACAGGTCTTAAGCCAAAGGATAAAAATCAACTTGAGATTATACATAAAAGAGAATAACCCCCTTTGGGTTCTAGATGTTAGACTGCCCTAGGTTCACTTTGGAAGGGAGTGGTCCAGCCTCCTCTTCTGATCCATTGGAGGTGATGATCAGCAGGGAGGATGCTGGATATGGAATCAGTTTCTGTTCTTTAATGTATTCACTGTCTCCATAGATGCTTAATTTCTGAAAGAAAAAAAAAAAAGGAAATTTTTTTTAAACATCGTTTTGATGATTCTTTTTTTTCTGTCAACACAAACCTCATTATTCAAGGAATTCTTTAAAAAACATTTTTGCCAGCCACGATCTCTAAAGCTTCCATCTTGTTTGGTCTGTATATAAACCAGAAGTGTCAAAATGACTGTTCAGGAAATAACTTCAGCCCAAATGCACACACCAAGCCCACCCGCTATTTGTAAGGTGCCCTTTGTCTGGTATTTTTGCTGGTATGCATCACCACCTGGTATGGCAACAGCACCGCCTACAACTGCAAAGCTCTCCAGCGAGTAGTGCGGTGCTCTGAACGGATAATTGGAGGTGAGCTTCCCTCCCTCCAAGACATCTACAGGAAGCGGTGCCTGAGGAAAGCGGGGAGGATCATCAAGGACTCCAGTCACCCCAGCCATAAACTGTTCAGACTACTTCCCTCAGGAAGGAGGTTCTGCAGCATCCGATCCCGTACCAGCAGACTGAGAGACAGCTTTTTCCATCAGGCCATCAGACTGCTGAACACGTCATAGACACCTCAGCTTCACTACTGGAACTTTAACATTATGCACTCCATACTGTACAGTAACGCCACTGTTTTGCACATGTCTCAACTCTGTATATTTTTATATATTTTATTTATTGTTTACTCTATTTAATTTGTAAAATATGTGTACACACACACACACACGTGTAGAAAAATATTTAGTATACACATCCAGAAATGCATATACTATTATATATTGTACATATATTTATTAGTTTCAGATGTAGCCATTCTTGTATTTTGCTTGTTTACATTATTGTATTTTGCACAACTCTGTTGCTTGTGAAGCTCGCACACAAGAATTTCACTCACATGTGCTGTACCAATGTACCTGCACATGTGATGTGACAATAAAAGTGATTTGATTTGATTTGGTATTCTGTTCATTCAGTCACTTTTTTGCCCGTGTTAGTCTAGTAAGGTGGCTATTACATTTCTTGAGACCAGTCTTTGGTGATACAGAGTGAAGCATTTTGAGTATGCGACCAATGCAGACATGCTTGCATGCACTTCTCTAAAACACACAATGATGGTACGCGCAGGCAGAATACTGACTGGCTGAAACATCTGCTTGAAGGAAGCAACAGTGGCATTTGGCACAAAATGGAAGAAGTGTATATACACTGTATGAAAAAGTATGCATAAGAAACTGAATTAAGCAGAAGTGGATATCATATTTTCTTGTTTTTAAACAGTGTTTCTCTTCACTGTAAAGAAGCCATTTGTCTGTTATGATTTCTGTGTTCTCTGCAGCTCTGCCACCAGCTGTCGTTGGAGACAAAATATTTTGATGCTGCCCCCTGGTGACAGTACACTGCTATAACATGAGGATAAAGGTCCACGTAGCTCCTTGAAGACTCCACAAAGGACTGGCACACATATAAAGCATAAAGACGAGTTGGAAACAAAGAAATAGTCCTTTGGTATCATTCTGTGCTGCCACATTATAATGGGATTTATTACATATGAATGACATGTAGATTTGTGCAATTACTCTGCAGAGGGCTCTGGAAAGGGCATAATTTGAGAATCCTCATTTTAGAAAATACTGGTTGGGTGATTTTGGACAAGACTGGCATTTCCAACCTTTGTGCCAAGATATGCTAGTCACCTCGTAGCTGTAGCTTCATAATTACTATGCAGATGGGAAAGTGGAACCAAGTTTCTTATTTAACTTTGCAACAGCACAATAAGCAATTATCCATTTAAGAATAATTTATACGGAGTATAAAAACAGAACTACAGCAACTAAATTCACACATAGCAGATACGCCCAGATTAAGCTTGTGTGCTAAACAAACTGCTGTAAACCACTTAAACAAACAAGAACAGATATCATACCTCAGCAGGTACATACTGATCCACAGCAGTTGCCACAGTGGCACAGCAGATCCAGATCAGGACAAAAACAGACAGGACCAGAGTTGTGGTAAGGATCCACCCCGGTAGCCAAGGATTCCTGAGGAGTAAAGGATAAGTATCAAGGTTATGTAGCTGCACAAAGGCAAGACCCTCAATACCATTAATATCCTGTTCAAGTTAAGTAACAGCACCTCTTGGACAATGTAGACAGAAATGTGCTAACCAACCTTGAGAGAGAGCTGAAAAGATTGTATTCGTCATTATAGGTGTGGTCCCCAGTCATGTCTCTGTCCCTCTCCTGGATTAAAGTGCGTTCGTAGTCCTTAAATACAGGGCTGCTCAGTCCAGGAACTTGAAAACAAGAAACCAAACTCAGAAAGATATTCAGTGATGTCTGCCTTAACCTAACACATTCTTTGAGATCAAAACTACTTTTGTCCTTAACTAATTACTTTATTTATTTTTTAAGAGGATGAATGAAACTCTTACAGCTCTTCTGAGGTTCCTCTTTAACATATTTTTCCAGTTCAAACTGGGAGATGAACTTGATTTCAGGTACAGCCTGTTAAATATAGGGCAGATTTTTATTTATTTATTTTTCCTAGTCATTTTGCTCCATTACATTTGCACATTACCAGGGTGAAGTGCGTTGTTTTGCATCTGGTAGATTAGGGGGTTGGTTTTCTTTTACTTACCTGGCAAATGATGACTTTGCCATCATCAGCCTGGAGGTAAAAAGTCCATGTGGAAGTGATGAAGCTGTGGGCCTGACTCATTACATCATCCCAGAAACCTCGGACCAAAGTCAATGGGTACAGAAGGTGAATCTTAGGCATCATGCTCTCCAACTGGGGGAAAAAAACAAACAAACATATTGAACAAAGGATTATTTTAAAAGTGGGAGCTGAAGTGCAACAAATACAGAATCAAGAGAGATCAAACAGCTGACCTAAATGAAAGCTGCATGCTCCAGTACCAAAGCCATCCCTACAGTAAAGTTGCAAAAGCAATTTCAAGTCTCTGCATTTAAACTTTAGTTAAATGCATTCACTGAATCTGAACAAACTATGAAAAAAACTACTAATACTGCAGATGGTTCTGTGGAAGCCACTGCGTGAATGCGTTATACACAGTCATACCTGCTTATTTCGCTGCTCAGCGAAGGGGAGCTGATTCTGACAGCCCAGGTTGCATGCATACTGCTCATCAGACTGGGTGTAGGCTTCGTGACAGGCTGCAGAAGTTTGAAAGAGGTGAGCGATAACAGATGATAGAGCCAACAGATCAAACTGAATTGTGGATACAGAACAAAGAGTCTCTAGAGCAAGCTTACACCATGGAACTGGATGTATTAAAACGGAAGCAGATTGTAAGAAATACTTTATTGTTACGAGCATAGCACATAATTAGTTAGCAAACCTCTTCGACAGCACAGCTGTGAATTAACTGGGTCAGTGCATAGCTTACTTGATTCACACTCGGATTTGGTCTGATTTAAATCTTCGCTGTCACGGACAAACTGACAAATGGAGAACAGGCGGCAGCCTCTCTGACAGGCATATAGTTCTTCCTCCTGTACAATAAAAAACAAACGGGAGGACCAGTTGAATGACTCGACAAACAAGGATATCCAGCTGAAAGATGACGCACTTTCAAAACTTGTCCTTCACAAACAATATTCGCTGAAGAAAAATGCATTGCAAAAAAGGAAAAAAAAAACACACGCTTGTCCACTTATTAAACGCAAAAGCTAGCTAATGGTAGCAGCAGTCGCTTTCCTTTTCAATATGACAACTTACCCGAGGATAGGTATGCAAACTGTATGTCATTTCACATGATTTATGGCAGGACGCAGTGTTTCCCAAAACGCTGTCAAATACATCTGAAGATACTAAGGTGCCTGCGAACAGGACGGCGAGTCCCAAAGTGCAGACAATTGAGGAAAGAGACCCCATTTCGCCTGCCAAAACCTAAACAAATAACACGATCCTCTTCCTCGTTCTCCTTATCGGGTTGTGTTCTCGCGGGAACTTTATCTCGCGCGAGACTTTTTTCAGAGTTTGCTAAATTTAAGGTTTGCTAAGTTTAAAAACCCTAAAATCTTGTTTGGAAAACAATGTTCCAACATGAGAAGTTCTGTTTTGTATTCAATGTAAACAGTTTGTGTTTTCCGTCTTCTTTTTTTTCTTTGTAAACTATATCCACAAATACTCAACAATAATATTTTGACTAAAAAAAAACCTAAAATCCTAACAGTAACAATAATCAAACAATAAATAGTGGAAAAAATCAATGTGTTCATTTGTATTGTTTTCCGAAGCAAAAATAATAAATAAAAAAAAGACTGATATCCGAAAAGTCAGAGAGGAAGATAAGGCCAAATTATTCAAAAGACATTTTACTGAGAATACCAGCGATGATACTAATATAATAATAGTATTATATTAGTTTAAAATTAATATTCATATTATACAAAAACGTTGGTCATTTATTTACTGAAATTTTGTACACGAGGGCTTCCACATCTTTCTAATCTGCTGAAGAGATTCATTGTTTCCGAGTGTACGTAAAGGCAACATTGCCACTGCCATTATTTACCATAGCCATACAGCTACTGTTAGCTCTATCAAAGAGATTATTTATCGCAGTTGTAGCGATAATATGGAGCTATCCTTTAGTAGACTATAGCGGAATTACATAATTAACACTGGCAAAGCATTTATTCAGTTAAATTTGGCTTGAGTTAGACAACGTTACCCGAAAGGCAGAAAGTAGCTGTTAGCTGAACCACGTAGGAAATCGGCTTCTTTTTAGTCAAACTGTTGTATTAAAATTTGTCAATCTCATTCTTTCTACAAAGGAGCTTCCTGGCTTGCCTTTGAACATGGACAAGTTTGTAGTGCGGCTTCCTAAGGGAGACGCACCTAAAAAATCGAAGACAGACGAAAAGGTGTACAAACAGACTACAATTGAATCTCTACGGGTAAGACATTAGGCATGCATGTATTGTGTGTTAACGCATTTATGTAGTAATTGCTTGCCTTTTGTGTTTCGTAAAGCGAGTGGTTGTTATTGAGGACATCATGCGTTACAAGTCAATGCTGGAGCTGCCAGAACAGAGCAAAGACAACCTGCTGACTGCCCTGAAAGAGCTGAGTAAGAAGGTCCCTTCCAAAGAGGTGCTCAAGTCCACGAAAATAGGTAAACACAATTTTTAATAACTCTTTATACAGATGGGCTGTCGTTAGAAAGTCATTTAAGTTTCCATTTTAGTTCAAAGATTGCACAACCAACCTTTATAACACGAATAACAGCTTACATGTGAGCTGAGTTTGCTTTTACTCTCTTATTACATGAGAATTATAACTCTGAAGAGCAAACCACTCATTAAAACAGTGTTCTCCTCATAAATGCCAGGCCAGTCAAATTCACAATATTCACATACGTAATCAAAACATCTCTCTGCTAAGGTCACACTGTCAACAAAATGCGAAAGCATCTGGATCCCGAAGTAAGTTCAATGGCAGCAAAGGTTTACACGGACTGGAGGACGTTCATCGAGGAGAATTCCAATAAGCCATCCATTGAAGTGCGCTCGGACAAACAGTCTGAAGGACTCAGGAGCAACGCTAGAAGGCTCATGTCTGAAGCACTAGAGGTCAAGGTAAGATGGAGAATCTCAGGGCAATCGTGAAACATGGCTTTAGAAAGATTTTTTTTAAAAATTATTTTCATGTCTTCCCGTTTCCTTCCTTATCATGTTACATGTTGAATGTAAGCCTGAAAATCAACATATATGATTTATTGATCGCTGTTTACGAGTGTATTTTAACTTATGCACATTTATTAATTTAAAATATTCCATTCCCAGCACTGGCATGTTCTTTATAAGAAGTATCTGAATGCTTGTTCATCTTACTGCTGCTTGTTGTCTGTCTGACTCATTCCTGAAATATTTCTGTTCATCTTTCACCTACAGGAAGATTCTGGTCTTATAGACAACATCGAGAGGGAAGTGTTTCACCAGAGCTCCCGACTGGTCAGCACTTCATACAGACGGACTGTTAGAGCACTCGTGTTTGCCTTCAAACACAACCCTGAGGTCAGAACTCAGGTGAAGAACAGCACAATAGCAGTCAACAAGCTGGTCTCTAAATACAAAAAATAACAGAATAATAAACTATGTAGAGCCAGCTGTATATGGAAAATAGTTTTAATAAAATTGGAGAAGGATTTTATGCACACATTTTTTTACATTTTATTTTTTATTGTTTTCTTGATTTTCTGTAAAGAAGTTAAAAAATATCTTTTTGTGGCACATCAGTAGCCTTGCACTTTTTGCAACTGCACATGAATCATTGTAAAGAATACTGTAGGTGATGATATTAATGCTATTCCTTTTTGTAATGTAATAATGTAGGCATTTTTTTTCAACAGGTCCATTGTTTTTTTTGTCTTGTAAATGAACATTTTTATACGAAACATGATTTAAAGCATGACAACTTAAGCACTGGAGTCCTGTCTTTGATGAAGAAGAGCTAATATAATCACATACAGTGTGTATATATATATATATATATATATATATATA